TGTTACCGACATCGCCGACTCTAAGAATTTTTCCTTTTGTGTTGTCGCCAAATGTCACACGTCCTCCATTTTTCCTTGTGAAATTTTTAAGTAAGGAAAGGTCTCCCGTCATATGTTTTAAGCATCCGCTATCTAAAAATCACTTGACCTTTTCCTCTCTTGGCTCCTCATTATCATCAATAGCCATGAAGCACATGTTTGCTATTTCTTCTTGCTCATCATCATCGGATTCTCCGAGCTCTAATTCATCCCATGTTGCTTGGAGAACCTTCTTGAGTTCATCTCTTTTGGAGCTCTTCTTGTAGCTCCTTTTGAGTGGACACTCCGTCCTCTTGTGTCTAGGCTTCTTGCAATCATAGCAAATGATTTCATCCCTTTTGATTTTATCTTCCATTTCTTCATTGCTCCTTGAGTTCTTACCTTGATTTTATCTTCCCTTTCTTCATCATAGCAAGAGAGTTTAAACCATTAACTATATTGGTGAATCGTGTATACATAGAGGTAATTGATTCATCATCTTTCATTTCAAACATTTCATATGAACGAACGAGATGATTAATCTTAGTTTCTTTAACTTGGTTTGTACCCTCATGAATTACCTCTAAAGTGCACCATATGGCTTGTGCGGATTTACATGAAGTGATCCTATTAAACTCATTTCTATCTAGAGCACAATACAAAATGTTCATAGCTTTAGCATTTAAGGATAATTTTCTTTCATCATCTTTATCAAATTCACTAGGGTCCTTAGGCATTAACTTATCTTCATTTTTCTTTGAGGGAACAAATGGACCATTTTTGACAATTCGCCACAAGGCATAATCGATAGATTGTAAATAAATTCTCATTCTCACTTTCTAATAATTATAGTCAACCCCATTAAAAAGAGGAGGTTTATGTGTAGATTGACCTTCCATGTTTTGGAAGTTTTAAGTAGCCATGCTCAAGATTGTAAAATCTTTTTAAAGAAGTTTGAGCAACCTTGCTCTGATACCAATTGGTGTCCCTAGTAAGACTACCCAAGAGGGGGGTGAATTGGGTTTTAAATATTTTATGAGAGTTTATATAATTATTCAAGATTAAAAACAAATATAGACAATTAATTTAACACAGTGTGTTTATCAAACATTTGGTGTGCAGAAAATTATGTAAGTTAATGCAATAGCACAAATACTTAATATGCACAAGATGAATCAATCTAATATCATATAACGAGTTCAATAAGTTTATCACCAAGAGTTAAATCAATCAATGTCAACTATCAAATTTAAAGTGTGGAAATTAGAGAGATAGGGTTGAGAGAGATGCAAACGAGATTTATAGTGGTTCGACAAATAAATTTGCCTACATCCACTGTTGCCGAGATATTCCGCCTCTCGACCTTTTCCATTATACGATCGACTATCCGGCACGATCACTCCTCTTACAAGATGGCGGATCTTTCTATCCGAGGCTTGGCCTAACCTCTTACACAAACGGAGATCGACCAACCAACAAACCAAATACGAAAGTAATGATTATGAACAGTGAATCACTCAGTCATACACTCCTAACAATGGTTTTACACAATTGAAATGACTAGGAGATGATGAAATCACACTATCAAAATATAATCCAAGATAGGCTCAAGTATGTGTGAGCGAGTGAAGTAAGGATTTTGAGAAGATGATGATTATGATGGCACTTTAGAGAAACCTTTTTGAATTTTTAAGAAATTTAGGAGCTTTGAACAATTTCTCTATTTTTAGGAAAATCCGCAGAAGAGAAAAATGACTTTTCTCTATTTAACCTCACTTTCCAACGGTCTTATTTTTGATCGTTTACCCAGTACCGGTCGACCGGAGTGGTTGACCGGTTGAGACAAATTTGAATTCTCGCTGTTCAACGGTCTTATTGAGTATCTGTTGAACAGAACTGGTCGACCAGAGTGGTTGACCAGTTGAGGCAGCACTGGTCGATCGGTGCATTTAGCCTTCTCTGTCACCGGACGACATAGGTCAACCGGTTGACACTTAGATTGCCTCAAACCTTCACAAGATTGTACTTTTAGGCCAAATGTCATTATGCACTTAGTTTAGTCTCATTTTAAAAGAATAATGTGAGTGTGTGCATAAGCCTAACCACGAATTAATCATGATAGTATGAAGTCAAAATCAAATACAAGACTAAGGAGATACAAAAACCTAGTAGTACTTGTCTTGCTTGATTTTGTTTGCTTGCTCTTAGTCTTTGATATTTCACACTTCAAGCTTTGAATTCCTTCTTCAATTTGCATTTCTCAACCTTAAATGTATGCATTGTATTCCACAATATGGTTCTTGAGTTGATTTATAATATCAATTATGCTAAAAATACAACTCAAAATAGAATCATTAGTAACATAATACATTGTGTTTGTTATCATCAAAACATGAGAATATTCAACCTTAGGCCAACACCATTGACACTGGAGTTGTCAGAATGTCACGAGCTATTACGGACAGGGTTGGAAAACGATCGGGCTTTCTCTTCCACCACTGTAAGATGTCTAGTTTATCGTCATCGATTACAAAATTTGCTTCAAAATATTTTACTAGTTCGGTAGAGGCTTGTGTTAATGACGATCCTGCCGTTCTCTCTTTCTTCTTTAAGAAACTCCACGACGATCCTTTAGGCCCTGAACTGCTAGTTGACGTCAAAGTTCTCTGTTCTTTTTTACCTATGTCGTATTTTGCTTCATACAAACTAAAAATCTTTTCTAACATTCTCTTAGCGTCAGTAATAGTTAGTTGCATATCTATTCCTAAATTTTCTGCGGTAGCAGTCATCAATGAGTTAGTCACATCTACTCCGTACCTAGGATCTAAAATAGTTGCCAATGCATATACCATAGAACAACCTGACCAATAACTTTTAAATTTATTTTCTATTAACTTAACTATGTCTCCAAAAAGTTTTGTATCCCTATAATAAGAAAATGTTTCTGAAATATTAAATAGTTAATGTAAAGCTAAATGTGATGTAGGATAATAAACTCCAGAAAGTAATTCAGTAGCATTGTTAAAAACTTCCATAAATTTAAAAAATACTCACCAATCTGTATCGAAAATTAAAAGTTTATCGTTCTTACTATTTACGTACGTCGTGATAAGCTGCGAATATGGGAGTGCTTCCTTCAACATTAAATAGGTAGAATTCCACCTATGTCTCACGTTAGTTGGAAACTTTCTTGGACGCAGCTGGCTGTTCCTGCAATATTGTTTGAATTCTTGGAGCCGAGCTCCATAACTAGATATTAATGATAATGATTCTCTAATATTTGTTAGATTAGATGCAATATGTTCAATTCCTACCTGCACTACTAAATTAATTATGTGACATACACACCGTTGATGAAAAATTCCCCTCCCCCCCCCCCCC